GCACCAGCTCAAGTTGAGCCGCTCTGCATTTTGCACCTTATTACCTTGGAAAACCCATCTTTTGATATTCTCGCTTCCTAACTCTTTGCATCAGTTAGGTACATGCAAAGAGCAGCTACAGGTCAGCTGGTGTTAAAGAGATGTATTGGGGTAATCCCAGCTGCTCAGTGTACCGGGATGCATGTGCCTTGATGGCTAAATTTCTGAATGTGCATAAAAATACCGAGATACATTTGGTACCTGCCAGTGCTTCTCTGTATAGGTGAAAACCATACAGATGCCAAAGCTATCTCATATACTTCCTCCAGCCTTGGGGCAACCAGCTGGATTATGCTGATTTATACAACTGAAGATGTGTCAGTAGTGAAGAGGTCTCCAAGATGCATAAATAAAGGAGCAAATCCTGACTTCTTTTCCCTTCTGACTTTAAATCACACCAGCTAGGTGTGATTTTAGGAGCTTTTAGGAGTGAGTGGCTCCTGCCTCATTGCTAGCACACCGGGGAATTGTTCCAGACTTGCTCGTGCAGCTGCATCTACCCTTTCCTGCAAAGAGGACTTTTTAAAATGGAACAACGTTGTCCTGAATCCACCGCTGATTCTGAAGCCACTGTAAGTGGGTTATTGATTAGAAAGGGATGGACGCACCTGGTGTGCTTGTTTGTGGGCTTCCACAGTTCAACCCTGCTGGTTTGCTTCTCTTTGAGGCCTTGTGCAATTTTCTCAGCCGACACTATATGGTTCTTCATGTTTGTTTTGCTTTGAAATGAAATGAAGTATGAAAATGTATGTATTTATTATTCTCTTCCTTTAATCTTTGCCAAGAAGTTAGTCCTCTCAGACCTTTAATCATCTGTCTTTGTCTGAATTCCCTTCACTTTACTTCTATCTTCTGGTGCTGAAGTGCTTACAGATGACTGAGGAATTGTATTGCTTTATCTTATTTTTCCTCATTAGAATGCTGGCGAAAGCCCATGGTCACAGAAGACAGAAAGTGGTTTAGGCTATTCAACACTTTTGCCTTTTCAAATTATTTAACCCCTTTGCTATGAGAGTTGTAAAGTGTTACTATAATGAATGGATATTGTGATGTGTATGAATTGGAACAGAAATTGCACTGGAATAATCGCAGGGCTGCAGCACCAATCACTCAAAAGTCAGGGAATGGCAGAGTTCAGGCAGCCTGTTCAGCTTTGCCTGATCACACGTTTTTCTTTCTATGTAGCTGCTGTCTGAAAGAAAGGTTGCTCTTCTACGTGAATACGACATTGTGTCTTCTCCAGTTCTTATTCTTTGTCCAAATTATTTTTGTTTAAATTTAGAAAAAAAAAAAATTAGGTAAGAGTGAGCACAACTCTAATTTGAGCCTAAATAATTTTTTTTTTTTTAAACGATAGTAGAGAAAACAAGACTTCACACTGAGAAGTGGATCCAGCTTTAGTAAGAGAAAGTGCTCCCTGGCATATCTATAAAGGTTAGACTCTGCTCACTCTTGCACAGGTCTGTAAGAAAGGAGAAGGGGGGGTCCTTGAGTTTGCCTGCAGAGCACAGGCGCGGATTTACAGTATACTTCTCCATGGGCATTTGTAAAGTGATACTGATGTGTTCTCTACCATCCTGATGTAGAGAAAATTTGTTTACCCAGTTCCCCAGTGATGGAATTATCCAAAATAAAATATATCATGGTATCTTTAGGATTGCTTCATATTAGAATATATATAATTTCTTGTATGCAATTTATCTTTATACAGCAAAACTGACAAAACATTTGGGCTAGGCTAAAGGAAGAGCAAGCGGAGTTTATTAAATAAAATAAATCATCTCTTAAGAAGTAAGTGAACAAATTCAGTAGGACCGAAAATCCAGTAAGATTCACAGACAATTTAAACAAACATGAATTCATTGCTAAACAAAATGTTTGGAGTGGTACAGAGATTCGAACAGTTCATCTGGAGAGGTGTTTTGTGCTCACAGAGTTCATCAATAGTAATATTGCCATTTCTAAATGAAATCTGAACTTGTTTTTATGGAAGGGAGGGAATATAGTGCCAAGAAATACTCAGTACAGATTTAATTTGTGTAAGATTTTAGTGTCTTTGTTGAACTATCTTCCTGTAAGCCCCCACTAGGAGACAGACTGCATTTTGGTCATTTTACATAACAATTGCCATGCTCTCACAACTACTTTTTATGACCTTGACTCCAAGCTTGATCCTACAACTGCTTCATCTCATCACCTCCTTTATACCTCTTTTCCCATCATCAGTAGTATTCATCCGTTTCCCCTCCTAGTATAATTGCACCTCTCACATAATGGAGATAACTCGATAGAGCAGGTTTTACTCAGAGCAAATTACAGATCCTATTTTATGCTAACCTTGATTGACTGCAAGTTGCTGGCTGCCCTTGTTCCATAGAAATGGCAATTTTAGCTTACGGAATAACAAAGCAACCAACTAAGTGAATCCTCTGTGCTTTCTTCTGTAACCTGCGTAAGTACACTGAAATGCTCTTCTCTGCACACCAGTGATCATTATTCTAGTGAAAGCAACCCACGGCCTCCTCAGAATAGATAAGGACCTTTACAAAGAGACTGAGTTTTTAATATTTATTTTGCACACGTGCACACACATGCAAATGTGGCTCACGCATTATTTTTAAAGAAAACATTAGGGCGAGGCAGTCTTTAAAGTTAGAGTGAAAGCACTGTTCTGCTGTTCCTTGACTGACTACTGTCAACCCAATTAATACTCTGATAACCACAGCTATGTCAGCTGAATGCCACTGCCAGAGGGCAATTTCTAGTTTATTTCTGCAAAGTATTTATCTAGAGATAATTACATATTAGCCTGATATGTTTTACTTGCAGTTGCAATACAAATTAACCTGGCATCGAACCATATATTACAACTGTTTGCAGTTGTACTATGAGCATTCAAAATGACTGTAAAAAATCCCCCCAATGAGAATGGAGAAACTTCCATTCTCATTGCAACTATCCTATAGCTTTTAATTTTAAAAGTAGGTCCTAGTTTTAATGGTGGAATTAAATGTTCTTAGCAATATGAAGCATAAATTCTTACAAATATATCTGTGAAATAGAAGTTAGCATATACTTCCTATGGATCACAGTTATTAATGTTAAAATTAAAACTTCTGATAAGTATTTTCCATTGCATGTGAGAAATAGAGTACATGATGAGTCAGAATGTTGTAAAAGGAGTTAGAAGAAAAGTTCAATTTCAGTTGTTACTAAAGAGGGAAGAGAGGCTCCTAGAAATCTGGCCAGAGACTTCATGTGAGGACAAGCACAGACCCAGCTGAGTAGTTTTGGCTGGCCCTTGAAAGATGCAGAAAATCAGAGTGCCTCTGCTGCGTGCCTCTCTGTGCCTCCTCCTGCTCTTTCACATGCAACCCAGTTCAATCTCCTCTTGTGTGAGACAGCATAAAACAAAAAATGCAGATGTACCTCCACGGCAGGTTATTTATTATAGTTAGAATCGATGTCTTCCTGGCCCAGATGTGGGATCTGACCCTGTATGACAGTATCCCCAGCTGCCTCTGAAGTTCAGACATGACCCAAATATTTTCCTCTTTGCCAGGCAGGCTCTATGGTTAATGCTGGAAGAATTTTCTTTTCTGGTCAAAGAAGCTTTCCTGGGGAGCATACTCTTCACTTTTAGACATGCTGGAGCATCCTGGGGTGTTTGGGCTCCTGATATTGTCAGGTATAGAGTTATCACAGCTTCCGTTAAGAAAAGTTTTCTGATTGTCTGGTTACCTTTGGGCTACTATTAATTCAAGCCAATTTAGGGTAACATACAAACGGGACATTTCTTCACAAAATATAAAATAAACAAACACAGCCACAAATGTTTATGAAAGACATTGTGTAAGTACAGTAAGCTTGATTTTTCCCTATAATTTCTTCACCTAATACCAGAAAGGTTTTTGTGTCCCCTTCTTTTCCTTTCCCGACACCTACCTGTCGAGGGTCATGCCTTCCCACATTCTTCATGCCTTAGGTAGCACTCATTAGAGAGAGACACTTATTGAAAGTACGGTAGTTTTTATAAACAGTCCCTCCTTTGAAGTCCCAGGGGGGGTCCAGGTAGATGCAATCTTCCTCCCTGGAATGGTTTTCTTCCTTTCTTATCCAGGAGAAAGTCTGTCCATTGTTCTTAATTAAAATAACGTGATGGTTTTTTCTTCTTTGGTGAATCAAGTATCTCTGTTAGACAATGTGTCACCTCCTGAATGTGACTATCTGACTAAAAACTTCTTGTCCCAAGGAAGGGAAACACTTTTTTCCCCCGCTTCTTAGGTCATTACATGCACGGGTTTCAGTGAAAGTGCTTTCATTGCTGGATCTTGTATATCTGTTCATACTCCATGGAAATAAGTGTGATAGAAATATCTGAACAGGCTATTAAGACCTGGCTTGTTGCTTACTCTTGGTTGAAACCAAACATTAACTAGCCACGTCTGAATGACAACAGGTTGAAGTGATGAATCCACAAAGTCTTCCTTCAAGTTCTGCGTCCCACTTAAAAAAATTCCCAAATGCACCTGCAGATAGGGCTGGCAGTGGCTCAGGTGCCTGGGATGGGTGTCTGACAACGAGCTTCTCTTAGGGTATTTTACATCTGCAAGTTTCTAGTTTACCGGTTAAAATGATCTGTGACTGACTTCTCCCTGTAAAAGGGTCTGTTCTACCTATATTGTTCAGGTGTGCATGTAACATGTTCTTTGAATCTCTTATAAATATTATTCCTTTACTTCTTTGAAATGATTTGTAAAGACCTCTTTAAAATGAGAATATACCTCAAGAATCCACTGCCATTTTAGAAAACAAATTGGCATATCGGTGCTTTCTGCTAAAACTGTAATGTTTATCATTATGATGATAATGTGTAAGTTTATATCAGCCAAAGAAAAACACCAGGGATTCAAAGGCCAACATGTCAAATAACGTCTTTACTTGTTCCTCTTTACAAACAGATATTCAAGAGTTTTATGAAGTGACACTGCTAAATTCCCAGAAAAGCTATGAGCAAAAAATAGAAGAAGCAAATCAAGTTGCAGCGAAATGGGAAAAGGCAACATCTGCTACAGACCACGAAAATCTGCAGAAAAACCAAGAGGTAATTTAACAGATTAAGAATTAAAATATATATAATGAGTGAGATGTTTCAAGCCTGAGAAAGACCATGCAATGATTTATAAGATTGAAAGAATGGCCTTAATTAAGGAATTAGATTAGGATATGGAAGACGTATAATGTTATCCCTCTGACCTTGAATATGTCGCTAACTGCTTCATCCTTTCAATTGGCATCTGTGAAAGGGGAAGTAAAAAACTTTCTTTTTCTTATCCTTGGTGTACTTCACCTGATACTTGGTGTCTGTGGTTACCCCCAAAAGAGAATATATCTCCTCTACTTGCTAATTACCACTGAGGTTATTAATACTCCAGAGATTGTATCCTGTGTAAAAAATTTAATAGGACTTTTCAGATTTCTGGGACTGACATTGGGCTGAACTTTTCCGTAGCCCAAGTGCACAGAGATAACAATCAAAATAGTCTCTGTACGAAGAATAGATATATAGAAGAAGGTTATAAACCTTTGCTTTTCTTCTGTAGCCAGTGGAAGGATTCAAAACCTTTCTTTGTCACCACTGGCTCTAATCTGCCTCTGCCTGCCTCCAGATTATTATTAACTAAATTAGCAATCTAAACTAATTGCCTCCCACCACGTTTGTACTTCAAAGACAAAAACAAAACCCACAGAACCAAGCAATGAATTCCTCTGTTCTTAAACAGTGAGACAGAAATAGAGTGGGCATGGGCTGCAAACTGCAAATCTCCAGACCAAAATCAAAGATGAGGGAAATGTATAAAAATTTCCGTTGTTGTTATGGTTCAAAAGGAATTTGAAGTTTTAAAAGTTGTTCCAAGACACTTTCCACAGACATGACTATTTTTAAGAGCTTTCCTCTTTTTAAATGTAAAACCCAGAAACAAATTGTAGTTCTACATGACATTTTATATGTGATTCTTTAAAAAGATAAATCAGAATTGCAGACAGCTAGAACAAAACTCTCTGAAGAAATGAAGAAATTTATTGTAAAAATTAATTAGCAAAAGAAGCTTACAGAATTAATGAAAACAAGCATTCTGATCTTGAGCGAAATCAGAACAAATGAGTCTTAACATCAATGTAGGATATATCCCATGAATGATTTAACGTTTGGGTCCCAGCTTGAAGACACAGCTAGCTAATCTCTGTCTTTTTTTTTGCACAGAGCTGTATGCTTTAAAATGGTAAAAGTGTATCCCAGCATGTTTATCTCTTGAAGCACCTGAGAAAGACAGTGGATCACAGACTATGTTTTCATTCCAGCCTCATCAAAGTATTTGACCCTCAACCCCATCTTCCTTAAACTCATTGCTGTCTAAGAGGTGTGCTGCTAGGCTTGCCCAGGGGAATTTAAACTCCAAATTCTGTGCTGAGAATAATAGAATATATAGGGCTAATGCCAAACTTTGCTCATCTTACGAAAATGACGTTCTGATTTAAAGCAAAACAATAGAAAACTATTGATTAGAAACTGGAATAACCATTTCAAGCCAGGGTGCTGGCAGTCAGAGTCCAGGGTACTCTCATTTTCAAATTTGCTATCTGTCCATAAATTTCATCAGTCTAATGGGTGCACAAAGTGTTTAGTCCCTTTAAAAATCATACCTATATATGTTTTAAGGGTCCAACTGCAGGCAAAACAGACTAGAATTGTAGGCTTTTGGTTTTTTTCCTTTCGACAGCACAACATACTATTAGCAGTTCTGAGTCAGAACTGATTAGCACATGCTGAATGTACCAGCTAGTGTACAAATGCAATACAGTACTTTGCTTTCTATGAGAAATTGCCCTATGAAAATGTAACTGGATAATCTAATACATCACATAAATTCTTATTCATGGTCTATTCCTCATGGGAACTGATGGTTTTGTACTTTCCTTTTCCATCCTCAATTACATGTCCCAAATCTGGAAAGAAAAAGCCTCCCCTCTTTCATAGAATCATAGAATCATTGAGGTTGGAAAAGACCTCTAAGATCATCGAGTCCGTCCCCAAAACTGAGCCCTGGGGAACACCGCTCGTGACCGGCCGCCAACTGGATTGAACTCCATTCACCACCACCCTCTGGGCCCGGCTGTCCAGCCAGTTTTTGACCCAGCGCAGAGAACTCTTTCATGCAGTGTTCCTCTGCAATAAAAGCCCAGGTATGATCATTCAGTCCAGAGGCCATCCCCCTTTCATGCCTTCCACTTGAAACCTTCTTTGGCTGTCTATATGTTAATTTTCTAGAAAAATTGGGTTTTTTGTTCCATTCGTAATTGTTGATAAAAAAGGAAAGCAGCTTTCACTGTTGTCGTGGTTTAACCTCAGTCGGCAACTAAGCACCACGCAGCCACTCGCTTACTCCCCCCCACCCGGTGGGATGGGGGAGAGAATTGGAAGAGCACAAGTGAGAAAAACTCGTGGGTTGAGATAAAAACAGTTTAATAATTGAAATAAAATGCCCCAGTTTCTGTACTGAGCATGACGTCCCATGGTATGGAATGTCCCTTGGGCCAGTTGGGGTCAGCTGTCCTGGCTGTGCCCCCTCCCAGCTTCTTGTGCACCTCCAGCCTTCTCAGTCGGTAGAGCATGGGAAGATGAAAAGTCCTTGGCTGGTGTAAACACTACCTAGCAACAACTAAAACATCGGTGTGTTATCAACATTGTTCTCATCCTAAATCCAAAACACAGCACTGTGCCAGCTACTAGGAAGGAAATTAACTCTATCCCTGCCGAAACCAGGACAACTGTCCAGGACAGGTATCCTATGAGCCTCCCTTTGTATTGATGTATCTGCTTTTCCAGAAGTGTAGACTTTGAGATAACAGAAAAGTTTTTAGGTTGTTGTTTGTAATACTGTACAGATTTGTCATGCAGAGATGGCTGGCCTCTCAACTCTCGCACCTGGCATCTGTGATCACCGTAGTGGTTTGTAACAAACTGATGCTAGATCTTACAGCGTACTGGGACGGGATCTTCATCGATTAAGAAAGATTAAAGGGTCACAACCCTTCCTATAACATCCCATCCTTCTCAGGGAGTGCCTCAGAAGAGACATATCTCCCAAATTCAGACTGTAATTTTGAATGGCTTTTGCAAAAGCAAGTGAAAAGTCAAAGGAATATATTAGCTCACCATATGCGCCAGAACCAGTTGCATCCAAATTATTAGCGTGAATGACCCCACATAACACCCCGTGGCTACAAACAACGGAATTAACAAAACATGTGTTGAGGTCCAGTGATAATTACTGCTGCTTTTTTTTTTTTTCTCCCCAGTTTCTTTACTTGCATGCTTCTAGTTAAACTCTGTGCTGTTCAGGTATTGACCCTGAAGGAGCTCCTGGTCCTCATGAAATCAATACATGTTTTGGTACGGCCTATGCATTTAAACACCACATCCTTGATTTTTACTCCACTGTTAACAGCTTTGTTGGTCATTAGAATGATAGGTGATATTAATGTTTCCGGATGCAGAATGCAGTATTACGTATCATCATATTATTATTGCATTTTACCCTGTACAGAAACTAAATATATGTGGCAATGTATCTGGCAGAGCTGTAAATACCATAGACCAAAATAATTTCAGTGGGTGGGTGTTAGTGAATAAGGAAGAAAGGAGGACATATATGAATGGTTTTTTTGTGTGAATCTATCCCTGTTGTTTTCCCTCCTGCAAATTCGACTTGACAAAATCAACTTAATTTGGTGGATACTTTCAGAATCAATGAAACTGTTTGGGGCAAGTTCACTGTTCACTAAAAATGTTTACCCGGCTCTGCTTGTGAAGGATTTTATTTGTTTCATATATTCGTACAGCAAGCAGAGAATGTGACATATCAGGTAATAAATGAAAAAGTCCAGCACGTTAGTCATGATGGAGGAACTCTAGAATATAGTTCTGAAGAAAACCTGAAAAAATTCATGTTGTCCATTCTCTTGCCCTACGGCAGATCAACTGTATTTGAACTGTTCTTGACATATGTTTGTCTAATCTGTTCTTTAAAACCTCCCATGGTGGAGAGTCAACAACTTCTCCAGGTAACTTATTCCCCTACTGATAGGAAGTCTTTCCTGATGACAAACTGGTGTTTCTCTAACTGCATTTAGAACCCATTAGTTTTTGTTCAATTCACAGTAGACATGGAGAACAGTTTATTCACCCCTGTTCCAAAGAGCACTTAAACGTGTGTTTAACTAATCATATATAATAACAGGAGCTTCCAGCTTCGCTGCCTTTCTTTCTCTCACTCTTTTAAAATGACCTTTGTGACCTGCTCTTCCTCAGCAGTGTTGTCATTTTAGGTAATATGCCCATGTAACAACAAATGCTGGGTCCTAATGAAAAATCTGGTCTTTTGGGAAAGAAAATATTTAGTTGGCTTAGATTCTTCTCAAAGGAGCTGTACTTAGAGATGTGAAATATTTTAGTTTCCAAAACAAAAAGCCTTGCCTGCTGTGGAAGGCAATTAGTCTTGACAGCACAGGCACGCGCTCTCTCTCTCTCTCTCTCTCTCCATGTATGTAAAAAAATTTCCTGGAAATAGTCTGCAAGATTTGTTTATTAATGAAAATACTAACTCAGGATTTGGGAATTGCAGGTTTTAATTCCTTGCTGTTCTGGGTACTTCCTGAAGGACTGTATGTGAGGTTTGAGAGGAGGACTGAAGAACTGAGTCACAGAAGGGAACTGGGAGTTGTAGTGTCTGAGGTATCTCATCATGGCCGGATATCAGTTAAGGACTATATCTTGTGGTGCACTGCATAAGAAGAAATTGATGTCCAGGATTAAAGTCCACAAAAACCAGAACACACCTATAATAAATTCCAAAGATGGGGCAAGATGTCATTCCCTTAAAATCTGCCTCATTAAGACATTGGTACCTTATCCTGATTAAGGTTCAGAATCATGATCTCTTTTCCGTAAATAAGACCATAGCTAGACTTCTCTTGCAACGTGTGTAAAGGCACTGCTGATACAATTTGCCTTATGAAGAAGCTATTTGGTTAGGGCATTTT